TGGGCGGAGCTCCGCGTACGGTTGGCTCCGTTCCGCAATGTCGGATTATATTCGCACGAGCACACCTGTGTCATGTATATATTACTATTATATTTGCATATAGTCGCGCGGTATACGCAAATACAAATATAAATACCGCCGCTACCCCTTTTCGTGCACACGCGGCGCACCTGTGGGTGCGCGAAAAATACTAATAATGATAATAGCGCATCGTATTACGGTTATTACGTAGTTATATATACTTATATATGCTGTTATATATCATCGATTACCTATATAAACACGATAGTTATATATGATTTATTTAATCGGTTTATAGGTATATATAGGCAGGCCACGTCCTTCAGGGGCTATTCTATACGAGCCCGTTAAAATGAATTTATAATTTTTGAAATTTTGATAGGAATACCCGAATATATAATAATAGGTATTTATTTTTATATTAAATAATATTTTGTGATATGTATGTACCACCTGTAGGTATTATAATATATTTTAAGGAGATTAGAAACCGTGATGTTCTGTCTTTGTCCATAACACACGCACGCGACTTTTATAGGATTTTAGACATGTATTCTTTGCCAAACGTACCAAAATTGATCTAGGGAAAAGTGATAAGAGTTTAAAAGAGATTTGAATTTGTCGTCAAGACTATATTATTTATACTTTAGATCGACTTTCCCACATTTTTAATAGTATTATCTCCCAAATTCATAAAAACGTTTTATTAAAAAAGAGTAAGTACCCAATTATTAAAAAATGTCATATTTCAATTTTTGGACAAATTAAAAGATACAAAAAGTAAAGAATGTGGGTAAGCCGATCTTAAGTAGATTTGACTATAAATTCAAATTTGTTTTCAGAGTTCTTATACATTGCTTCACATGATCACATCGGTATACGTTTGGAAAAAAACAAGTTTAAAATCCTATGTCACACGTGTGTTATAAAGACAGAAAGTAACGGTATCAAATTCCCTTAAGTATTATAATCGTGTGTAGGACACTCGTATGTATGGCTTGTCATGGGTTGTATTTTATATTGTAAGTGTTATATAGGGCCCGCAAAAAACATATAGTACAGGGGCCCGCAATTTACTGTGGGGAGCCTGTGTAGGTAATAGGTATACGGGTAGGTTTAATAGCGATAAACTAATATTATGATTATTGTTATTTGTATTTATTTATATAAATTATAGGTAGAAATGGTGACTTATAATATATTATACTTATATTACTTTTTACTAACACGATTTGGTATAGTGCTGCAGGTTACGTGGTGTTTCAATCAATATTATTTGAGGCCTTGAAGGTAGATATTTTAACATAATATTTAATATCCTATATGCAGGCTGCAAGCACAGCTGGTATTAATAATTATTTAAATAAATATTTTTTTTATAGTTCAGAATTTTTTATCATAGTAAAGGTACAAAGCAGAATTTTTTATGCTCGATCGAAAAGTTTTTTTTCTGCATTTCTATATCATTTTATACCTGCGCTGCACCGTCGTACCGCGACATAATGATATTTGCTCAATTATTGTGTTTTGTGACTTAAAAAAGTTGTTTTATACTCAATAGTGTGATAGCTGCATATAATGTGTCTGATCATGATTATTTATACATTTAATATTTAAACTATTATAAATATGCTTATAAAATAAAGTTGTGACGTACACGCCATATTTTCAATAATTTTTAATTGAGTTATGAAAGATACTTTTTAAAATCTTTGAATTGAACATTCAAGCTTTAGGTATTACCTAAGTATTCATAAAAAAAAATAATAACATTCATACCTAAATGAAAATAATAGGTATCGATCTGCTGTAGTATCTATGTACAGAGGAGTCACTGAAATGGAAGTGTCATCACATCGATGTGTTAAATTTGAATTCAATGACACATAGAAACATCAATCGAAAAATGATTCTGAGAGAAGATGGTCTGTCCGCCTATAACATTATACTAAATAAATATTTGATGATACTATATTGTTATCAAAGGAATTAATTTTACTATTATAGACATTATAATTTATTCAGTTACACGATATTTCAGTAGATTAAATTAATTTTTGCCAAAAAATGTCACTGTGCAGTATACTCGTAAATACACAATATACTTTGAAAGTTTCAAGTACTTAAGTACCCACGAATAATATTTTTAAATTGCAATAAAATAACTAATATTTTTATTGTATATTCTATTAATTTAAACAATTATAATTTCGTCTAAATTTGAAAATAAAATAGGTATCTATAAAAAAACTGCGTTTTTATACTTTATAGACCAATGGTGGCCCAAAATATTCCGTGGCTATGGCTATGGAAGGAAAGGTGCTTGCAGTTATTACTTATTTGTGTTACATCCAAAATTGATTTTCAAGAAAAATTAATACATCAGGAACTACGATTTCATTATTAGGCAAATGGTAAAATGTTAAAAATTAAAGTGAATATTTCATATTATATAGTTAACCCAATTGTATACCTATTTAAAGGGAATATATATATTATATACTTGCAAATGAAGCCGACGACTTTTTTCGTGCAAAGGCCTTTCTTAAAATCTCCCCTTATATAAGCCTCCCTGTAAGCCAAAAATGGACTATCCATAACCACTTAATTGGCTCAAAAATAAATTGTCACAGGAAAATGCTTGCATAATTATTTGGTGAAAATGTCAAGTGTCTACAGTTATTAGTTGTTGAGTTAGGTACATCTAAAAAATAAAATCAATTTTTTTTAAATAGGTTTTTGTGTAGAAATTATCATTATTCCTTCATTTTAAATTCTGAGCGGAGCGATGAATGTGTTGATTTTACAATGATGACGTGTGTTTTTATATTCATTTATTTTTATTTTTTTTTTGTGTCTGTCATCAAGCGGTTTCTTGCGCAGTAAAATTGCTTCAATTTTCTTCAACAGCAACTTTTCTGGTAGGAAAGTAAATCTAGTTGATGTATTCAGGAGGTCAAAATTTAAGACTCTCAATACTTTTCAAAAGCAACAGGAAAAACGGGAATTTTTACGGAAAACTATAGTTTTCGCCTTTTCAGTTTTGGTTTTTAGTGTAACTCTAACAAAAATGACTGTAGAAACATGAAATGTTCACTGAATATTTGTGTAAGCATATTCTATACGACATAAAATTTTCAAAATATTTTGGTTTGTGTTGAACTATTTATAAGCATATGAAATTGTTGAAAATTATTTGTTTTTTTTAAGCTCAAGTCGATAAAAAAATTTTCGCCAAGTTGAAAAACTTGTAAATGTAACAAAATGATTATTTCATCCATTCATATACTTGATAAGCTTTTAAAAATATTTTGAATCGTTTTAAGCTGTTGACGGACATTTTCAATTTTCATTTTTTTTTCTATAAATGTCAATCAAATTTTATTGGTTGCGTTAAAAAGCATGAAAATTGTTATACAAGACTTTTGATACATTTTTACAATAGCAATTGAAAAATATTAAAAATACATATGAACGATTTTTTTTCTATAATCATTTAAAGTTCAAATTTTGACCATATTTATTAAATTTATAAAATGATTTTTCTGTTAAAAATGTATATAATTTTTAATTTTTACTATAAGGATTGAAAATATAAAACAAGGTTTCACTTATAAGCAGTTATTTTTGTAACTAAAGAATCTAAAAAAATATACGAAAACAGTTATTTTTACAGAAATTGTAAGTTCAAATTTGAACAAAATTGCAATTGCATACTAACACAAAGAATAAAGTTTATCATTTTGTTGTAACTTGGTTCCAAAACAGCCCAATTTTCCATAGATATTTTTATTATTTTTCTAGCATCACTGATAATTTAAGAATAATATTAATTCAACTTATACTGGCTAGTGGCTACCATATTTATAATAAGTAATAACAATATAAAATATCCTAAACTGATATACCGTCTCTTCTCAAAATCGTTTTTCGTATACAATGATTTGATACCATTGAATTCAAATTTAATACCGTCCATTACAGCGACCTCTTAGACACCTAATGTACAGCAGAGCGACATCCACTTAGTACCCACTTTTTTTTCAAAAACTATTAGTTTTAGTTGTTCTTATGTGTCAAAAAAATAAAAAAATAACTAAATATTCATTAAATTCAAAAATATTATGATCAGGCATTTTTTCTCCTTATATTCTGTGTAGTAAATGTTTCAAAAGCCTGTTGAAAGCGAACCATTTTTAAGGGGTTATACTTAGGCAATATCTTATATCCTACGTGAGTGATATTGTGCGACTGTGTGTAGTGACTGATCTTCAGACATTTTAGGGGGTTTTATATAGGCAACAATATTAAGAGTTGTACTTATAATAGTATTATTAGTTATTTCATTGGTCACCGATCTTTTTATAAATACATTAATACATATAACATATTATATATTTAATAGGTATGTATTATGTACTATTGTAGGTACTAATATTATAAAATAAAAAATTGTAATATAAATCCTATACCCTAATTTTTGTTCTGCTAATATGTATGGGTGGGTACCTCTCCGATCAACTATTTATCGGATATTTTACTCGCTTCCTTAAAAATCAATGATTTTGGGAGACTTCTATTATAATAACCTTGAAAAGTCTAAAATCGAAATCTGGACACGGGATAAGATTTATTTAATATTATATAATATGGTATACAGACCAAGAAAAAATTGTCGGAAACATAATATTATGTTTCTGACATTATCGTCGACAAATAATTTTTATTTATGTTATCGTTTATGACGGAAAATCAGAAACATTGTCGATGGCAAATTTTTCTTTGGTAAGTCAGTGGCAGCATGGCCACTGGCCAAAGCGCCCGGAGGTTAACGTCCGAACTCCAAACAACAATGAGCGAATGAGCCTTTCATGGTGGCGGTGTCATCTAAGGTACCACTGTGGTACTACCACGATTTAAGATATTATACCTTTTCGGTTATCAATAGTATAACAATTGATACTACTATCACACAATCAACTATCAACCAATTTCCTGCTTGCCTAGACTTGATTCCGCCATTTCAGGGTCCGTTGTAACTTGTATCTTGGGGTTCGAATTTTCAGACTGATTTATACTGTTCATAGTTCGTACTATTATAAGTTCATTATCTTGTGTGTTCGTAGTTTTGTTTTTGAAGTTTTCGACCCGCCTACTTCAAGTCTTCAACCAACATTAAACATTTGAAAATAAATTTAATATTATTTAAATACGATACAAATTGTTTTGAATTAAACCTCTAGTTGAAAATTGATTACTTTATGATTCATTGATTAAATTTATGAACATTAAAAACCTATAATATTCAACACATCGGCAGATTTTAAAGAAGAACAAATTCATTTACCACATAAGTTATTCACAAACTAGTATCAAGGTTTGATCCTTAAGAATGTAAAACTTATTAGCATAATTTGTTTGATATTTTTTTTTTACAGTTTGTTTTGAGAAATGGAGATCCCTGAAAAAAACCTAGAAATTGCCACTATAGAGTACGTTAAACCAAGAACTAAAATGTTTTCTTTTACATCAGAAGTATTAGGTGTTACTTTATACAATCAAATATTGTGTTTTGATAATTGTTTTTTTGTTGTTATTAATCAAGACAATATGTTTTCATGCTTATCTGTTGCTATGACACAAAGAAATAGTATGGATACAATATCCAGTGCTATTTTCAGCACAGATCCTGATAGTAGATCGGAATCAATAGCTAATACATTAACAAAAAGTTTGAAAACATCAACTCCAATATATGTGAGTTTTAATGCAAATATTGAAACTATTGGGTTGAAAGATGTTATTTCAAGCTTAATTAATTTTTTTAAATCTCATTCAGAAATACGAATTTGTTAAATAAATATTGAATTAAAATATAAATAATAAATATTATATTGCAGTTTAATTATTTTTTACACACACATATATTTAAACGGACCTAAGGAATATATTTACGTACACACATGCACTATGTGTCTTACAAATACATAACAATAAAATTGTACGTTCTGAATCATACTGAATTTAACTCTAATGTTTAATTTTAGAGTGAATTAACCTATTACTAAATTTGGAAGTAAGAATATCTAGTGGATAACAGTTTTTTTTTAATTTCAATTTTTAAAGAGAATTTTTTTTGTACAATGGTAAAATAAAACAATAAATGGTTTTCAATTTCAACATATGATATCATTTTGTCAGTTATTATAAATACAGTCAAAACTCTTTATAACGAATCTGAAGGGACCAAGAGATTTCTTTCGTTATAGAGAGTTTTTGTAATAGAGAGGGTTTAAAAAAAACAAAATTTTAATTATTTATGTATAATATTATATATCAAACACATCATTATTTTTACAAATAATGAAAGAATGTAATCGTTCTTGGAAATTTCGGCATTATTGCCGATTATTTTTATAGTTTATATATGTAATAGATACGATAACACGTAAATTGTATTATGAAACATAAAATATTGTTTCGTTATTGAGAGTGACTAATACGTTATAGAGAATGAATTGTCTAATGGGTTATATAGCAAACCAACCATTATTATGTAATGTTTACGTTATATAGAGTTTTTCGTTGTAAAGAGTTTTGTTATAAAGAGTTTTCACTGTACTTAATTTACATTTTTTCCGACACTGCTCTCTAATTTTTTGTTTAGTTCATATAATATAGTCATTAACTTTTTGAACTGCCTGTATCCATTATAATCATTTGTATTTTGTTCCTTGCCACAATTATAATAATTTTTTTTTTTATTTAAATTATCTCAGTATAAAAGATTCATTATTTATTCATTCTTATTAATTAATATTAATATCTTTTACTATGTGATTATTACTAACCTTAGTTTCTACATGCTTAATTTTTTTTTTTTTACTAATTACTTGGGGAAAAAATATTTGGCTAGACTCTAAAAATATCATAATGCCAGTTAAGTTAGGATGTAAAAACTTCAAAAACATGTAATAGATTGTCCAACATTATGTTCATTGATAAATCTAAAATTTGTTGACCTTAAGTCATCAAGCTTTAATATATCAGATTGTTAATATGGGTATGTTGGGTGACACTAACCGTTTACTATCAAATTTACTCATTATAACTGCATAGATTATAAATAATATTAATTTAAAAACAAATAAAGGTACCAATAATCAGAAAAATGCTATATCAGTCAGCTTCTTGCTTTATTTTATTTAACTTCATTAAAAACATCTTTAAAAATGCATCGAAATTAATAATTTATTAACATTTTCAAGAAAACATAATTTTAAATATATTTTTTGTTAACATCAGTATTTTACATAAATAAATGTTGACACCAGTACCAATTAAACAACACTTTTGTTGAAAATTATAAAATGTAAAAATAATTGTTTATACTTGGAAAAAAAAATTTAAGAATCAACTTCCATGACAGTTTCTTCTGCAATTTGGAATTTGATTTCACTTTTGCTTAACACTTTGGTCAAACCAGTTGGATAGACATATTTAGCACTACAATAAAATATGTACATATGATTTATAATTTATAAAGTATGCTTGACTTTAGCAGTATAAAATGAAAAACTTACGTTGCTGGCTTTTTATTAGGTGTCAGGTAGTTTCTGAGCATACGAGTTCCATCTTTTTTTATAATACATAGATCCACATTACTTCCAGATCCAAGATCATTAAATACACCGCCTAAAATAGCATCGCATGCTAGTTTCATGCCTTCTTCTTCCTAGTGGAGAATTAAAAAAAAATTAAAAATATAAAGTATTAAGTAAAAAATTTAACTTACAGTTAGATTTTCATTCCAGCGACTTTCAAGTTCTGAAATAGCTGCCATACTTCCTGATCCCATTGATATATAAGGTAATTTATCTATTGAACCATGAGGGTAAATGGAATATAAGTGTGAACCACTATTATCAACACCACCCAAAATTAATGCGGCTGAAACATACCCCTTAATCAAAAATCAAAATTAATAAATAGAACAAATAATATAGTGTTATACCAAATTACCATGTATTTGAAAAGATATTGACGGAGAGACCTAGCAGCAAATGCAACAGGAACCATTTCATCAGGAAACTTGAATGCTTGTAAGGAAACATTAGCAGAGACCATGCGTGTAACTTGCATAGTATCTGCTGCTGTACCAGCACCGCAACAACTGAAATAGTTCAGTATTAAAATTATTAAAAGGTATTTACATAAGACAAATTTATTATGTCAACATACTGCATATATTTGCCAATGTAATGAATTTTTTCACAATTTTTTTCCATAACAATAGTGTCAGAAGTAGCACGTGTATCTGCAGCCAAAATGACACAATCGCGAGTAGTCACTCCTACGATTGTAGTACCAGTTTTTCGAAAACTAGGCATTTTAAGTCCCATTTTTTCAAGTTTGGCATTTCTAAAAATCAAAAAATTGTATGTACTTAATAAATAGTAGCGTATACTATGTAAAATACATGGTAAATCATAATTTATTATATATATTATTAATATGTGTAAGGATAGTGTAAGGATATTTTACATGATTTTTTTACTATTTGATTAAAGCTGAAAAACAATGGTAATCAGCTCTTTATCATAGTATAATACATACTTATTTTAATTAAGATTCACTTATTATAATATAATTCATTAATATTTATTAAGAGTAAATTAGTTTAAAGTCTATAAATATAATTTATTAACGACAGATAATTACTAACTGTAAGTACTTAGTGTTTAATTCTTACATGGCCTAAATAAATCACATTAATTATGAAAAATAAAACTAACATTAGTTATCTATTATGAGGTATACATTATTAATATAATAATGAAACAGACAAACCTTTCAAGATTCCGGAATGAAAAGGCACCGTCATCATCGATAGAACTGTAGTTTAGTGCCATTGTTAATTCAAATAAATAACTTGAGCAACGGATATTTTCGTAAGATTGAAAAGGCAAATGCTACTTGGAACCACAAAAAATGTGAATTATTGGACTTTCAATAGTTAAATCCTGGGTAGAACGAACTAAATAGAATTAAAGTTTAACACCTAACATAAATATCAATATTGTCCATTATTCAAAAGCGGCATAAATGCATAAAGCATAATGCCATTGCCTATTATCATGTTTAAATATTTTCAATGTTTTCAATTTTCAGAGTCATGCACAAGACTGATAAAGATTTCCGACTAGAAAAACCACCTGGATTTTGGTAACCAACCTCACATTGAACCGAGGTTAAAAATACTATCGGTTGTTATAAAACAGTCCAAAGATTATACAATAGTGTTTTTGATATCAGTGTTATCACAATAAAAAATACAATACATTTAATTGATAAATAATAATAATTATTTGTCTAATTTTTTAATGGGTATATAAATCATAGTTTATTTTGTAATTATTTTTATAATGCTCCTTACTTACTGCATTGCTGTTTACTAATAAATGTACAGTTCATCTAACGCATTGTGTTATTTTTCAGTTTTAAGTATTAATTAGTCGAAACTGACAACATAATGACAACCCTAAGACCATTCAATTGCGATGATTTATTCAAATTCAATAATGTGTAAGTGATTTTTACTAAAAAATTGTTAAAACATTTTATTATGCTTATTTACATGATGATAATTTTAATAGCAAATTTTTAATTAGATTGTTGTAACTAAAATTTGTACCGCAATCATAGTTTGAAACCGGTTTTCTGAAAAGCAGTTAAAAACTCAATTTTCTTAATTTTTAACACTCTTATCTCACCCCATATATCACGATTTCAAACCAATGCTAAAAAACGCCTGTGGAAATCTTAAAACTGAAGTAACAAATCTAAAAATTTATAAAATGTTAACAGTTAAAACTTACCTACATTTCTTCCGTTTTATAAATTAATTACAATATTTTCAATTTTTGATAAAATAAGTATTTTTATAAGAAAAAAATATTATTACAGTATTCATTAAATAAAAATTTGATGGTATTATGTAAACTAATTTAATAACCAAGACCTAAAAGTTTATAAAGCCTTCCATAATATCTAACCAAAACAATAATTTCAAAACTAACCCAAAATATAAGAATTTGAGAAAACTGATAAAAATTAAAACAGTTTCAAGCCCTCCTTTAAACTCGATCAATTGTAAATTGTACTCATGTTAGAATGGCAGAATGGCTGATTTGTTTTTAATGGAAGCAATGCAATTTTAATAATTTCTTGCAAAAATTTAAAATTACTTATTTGTTAAGATTTTTAGTTATATTAAAATAATTTGTCTAATTTAAATGATACCTAAGTGTGTCTTGTATTTAATCTAGAAAGTGTTATGTGACAAATTTAGATTTAACATAAATATTTAATAACTAATAATAACTAATCTATTAATAATTTTAGTTCTCCATTATTGAATTAATTTTTATAATCTGTTTGGTTATTTCAGAAATCTAGATACGCTCACAGAAACTGTATCCTTTTTGAAACATACTATATACAAATTATTCAATGTGTGTATTTTTATAGATAATGATATAATTTATAGAAGTACTATACTATATGATAATAAATAGGTAGATCTCAGTATTATCATTTTTTTTAATACTATCTACATGGAATTATTTTTAACTAGCACATTTACTGAGAGTTTTTAGGTTCACATTTGAATATTTTGACTACCCTTATTTATGTATTTTTTTTTTTTTGTATCTATTATGAATTAAAATAAGTATTAACCAATTTTTATATTGTTAGTTGTATACATTATTAATACTTTAAATTCAAACTTAACTTGACATTATACAGTATGCAATACCATTTTATATGCAATATCTTGCACATTGGCCGGAGTATTTTCAGGTTGCTGAATCACCTACTGGAGAAATTATGGGCTATAGTAAGTTTTTAACTTAGTTCAATAACTACTGCTTCATATGTAAATGCTACGACTTATGCATCATATAATATGTTATTTTATACAAAAAGATTGGTTTTCCAAATAATTAAATAATTTTTGTTTTGCTGCAAAAACAAATGTACAATTTTTAATAATTTTATGTTATCATAAATTAGTTTTACCTGATATTTATAAATTTAAACTGTAAATTGTATTTAGTTATGGGGAAATCTGAAGGACAGCCAGATAGTTGGCATGGTCATGTAACTGCATTAACTGTTGCTCCAGAATACAGAAGATTAGGTGTTGCAGGTGTCTTAATGAATTGGTTAGAAGAAATTTCGGAAAAGTAAATTTTTATTATAAATTTTATTTACATTTTCTAATGTTATAATAATTTTCAGAAAAGATGCATGGTTTGTTGATCTATATGTGCGTGTCAGCAATACAGTAGCTATATCAATGTACAAGAGCTTAGGGTATACAGTGTATCGTACCGTATTAGAATATTATTCAGGAGATCCTGACGAAGATGCATATGGTACATTTTGTTATTCACCGTAAGATTTATAAAATATTAAAAATTATATATTTTCAGATATGAGAAAAGCACTTTCTAGAGATGTTGAGAAAAAGTCAATTATACCACTAGAACATCCCGTAAGATTGGATGACTGTGATTAAAATATGAAAATTGTTACATACTCACAATGGGTTACCAGACATTGATTTGTAACAAAAATGATTTTGTAATTTTGAAATAAATCGTTAAATGTTTTAAAATATATTTCTAGAAAACCTGTCTTCTGTGATATTACTTTCGGTGGATAATCAATAATAAAAGATTAAATACATTTTTAATCTATGAATGTAATAAAAAAATATATTTTATCAGGCTTGCACAGAAAATTTATTTTTTGAGCCCGGTTAAAGCATTGGAAAATGACCTCTTAGAATCCAGTGTATGTAAATGCTTTTCCTGGTAGAAAAGGTACTGTCCTAATCAGATAAATATAATATATTATAAAATATCAATACTTCTAATCTCCTGCTGTTATATGGAACAGTTAGCCAATCTTAGATACTTAGAATGGTTACAAGATTTTGGTGTTATGGAATAGATGTAAGTGACATACTGTCATGTCGGCAAAAGCATGGCAAAAAGTAATACGGACAGCACGTGTAAGAGTGGTGTGATCAATTTATAGAGGTAGGTGGGTGAAGTCTGGCTCATAATGTATTTAATACACAACATATATTCTAAAATTGGTATTCTAATTAGCATTTTCTGTACATGATAACATTTTCAAAATATTTAATTTAATATTTCATAACCCTTTTTTTTTGGTTTAAGTATAAAAAATTTCATTTAGTCGGAAGTTTAAAAATCAAATACAAGGTTCCTCGTAAGCTGTTCATGTACCAATTAAAAAATATCAAAAATACAGTGACAATATTTTTAATAAGTGTTTAGATGTTAGAATCTTGATGAAATTCATAAAATTGCTAAAATTTATATTTGTCAGAAAGTTAAATAGAAAATCTAAATTCTAACATATTGATATCAAATGTAAATAATGATATTATTGTATCACAAATATATTTATTTATTTACTAGCTCTCTGAGCTAGTACGGCTTTTAAAAATATAGTATTACAGTCATAATCCATTATATTCTGTTGTCTATTCCCTTATCTGAAGTTAATTTGTATACTTAAAAAAATATATATTTCATCGTCATATAGGTAGTTTACAATTAAATACTATTAGATTACTTACTACAACAGTTAAGAGTAGGATAGAAATTAAAATATTGAAAATTATACATAGAACTTAATATGAATACAATAGGATTACTAAAAACACGGCGGTAAGTAATTTATATTATAAAACAATAGAAAATAATACATTGATTGCTTATTTATTTACGATTCTTCTAATTTCCTTTTCTTCCATGCTTTAGCAGTTTCTAGGAGTTTAAGGTTTGGTCGAGCAGCATCATCCTCTGGGAAAATATAGTCTATTTTTTCTTCCCATCCTTTGTCCCTCTAAAATAAATAAAATAAAATATATCAAATTAGTAAATATAATAACACTAAAATTAATTAAATTTAAACCAAAAGTTTTCTTACTCCACTTTCGGAAGTATAAGGCACTCGTTTTTTAATCCTCTTTGGCAACATATTTTTAACTTTAGTTTTACTATCTTCATCTCCGTTTTCTTCTTCAAATCTAAACCATGCCTGTAAAATACCTTCTCTTTCTTCGGGTGTACCACCTCTTCGTAGTGCTTCATTACCTCTTTCAAATACTCTTCTTGCTACTGAGACACTATCGATACCTTCCTCTTCTGAAGTAGCTTCGAATTGTGCATAGCTCATCCACACCTGCCATATAAAAGTAGGTTTTTATTTTTATGAGCTTACTGGTTTAATTTTTAAGCAAAAAATAAAAATAAATAAGATAGAATATCACCTTAAAATGATTAGTTCTTTCTAGAAGTCTTTCATACAACTTTCTAGCTTTTTCTGTCTCCCCTTGTAATGTCTCGAAATCGATGAATGATTTCCATAGAACTTCTGGCATATCTAATCGTTGTTGGTTTACAGCTAATTCATAAATAGCTCTAGCGCGATCTATATCACCCAATACTGTTTCTAATTCTGCAAACTAAAATTAATATTCATTTTAATTTACAAAAACTTGAAAATTGTAGGATTGCTTCACATATACAATATATTTGGGATGTAGTCAATACTTACTCGAATCCAGGTGACGCAATTTTCTGGTCCAAATTCTAAATACTTTTCATAGAGTATACGACATCTTTCAAATTCTCTAAGTTGTATTTCTAAATCAATATAGCCTCTAAATAGTTTATCTCTGGGACATAAACCTAATGCAACACCCTGTAAATTAAATTAGGTATAGTATTATTGAATTAATTTAAAACTAATAAAAATTACCATTCGCTTTCTTGCAGCAGTTAAATTTTTGTGGCGTATTTCAAATTGAGCATAATATAACCAAGCTTTTGAAAATGTGAATATTTTGTGAGGTATAGTAGAAATAAATGTCTGATAAACATCACGTGTACGCTCTTCGTCTTCAGCTTCTAGCTCTTCAAACAAAGCATAATTTATCCACAAATAAACATATCGACGCCATGCATGCTTTTCCTACAGTAAAAATAATTAAATTTAGTTAAAAAATATTTGAAATTATAATTTAACACATCGAAAATGATATAAATATATTAATTAACATTTGTGTTTTGTTAATAAAAATAACTTACATTTGAAGGGGGTATATTTGCAACTGCTCGTTCATATGTATCTCGAATGACTTCTAAATTTCCTTCACTCTCTACTAATTTCAAATAATCAAACCAAGCATCATAATTTGTTGGATTACCTTTTACTTCCTGAAAGTCATATAGTTAAGACATTGTTTTGATTTAATTTAAAACTATTATATACTTGTTCATATTGAAGTTTTCTTTTGCTACTAATAACACTTTCAATTGCAGTCCGATCACCAAATTTTTTCTCGTGTATTGTGTATGCTTTATAAATATCATGGCATCTGTCTTTAGGGACATGATCCAAAGCATATTTATAAATTACTCGTACACGTTCGTGCTAAAAACAAATAAAATATTATGCACCTTAAGTAGTGTTAAAATAAAAAATAATATTATTTAATTTAAAACAATATTTATCATATCATACTCAAACAACAAAATAATATCACAGATTGTTTATTTACTAACATAAAAAAATTATAATTATAATCAATTTTAATACTTCTTTTTGCCGTTCTTCAAATCTTGCGAATGCAATAAATAAATTTTCACTTATATGATCATCACCAAAAAATTCAACTGCTTTTTCAAATACACTTCTTCCACCGGAAATAAAGCCATTTTGTTCTTCAAATCTAATAATAAAATAGTAATTAAAAAATTTTAAATCTTCAATATGTATATAATATACCTAGCATATCTTATCCAGTTTGTGACATCTGGATGTACCATAACAAAATTATTATAGATTTTCCTTGCACGATCAACTTCATGGTAACGTAACTCAAATTTTATATAAGTCAACCAAGCTTGTTCTGGGGGTTCCCATTCCATCCATCGTTCAAATACTGCTCTGGCTCCTAAAAAAAAATATATTCCAATTATATAAGATAACAACAGCAAAACTGAGTAGAATAAATTATTTTCATTTTCATTTTTTACCTGCAACATTTCCTAACATCTCTTCCATATATGTGTATTTGTACCAAAATTGATTTGCACGAGGCATGATGACAACAGCACGATCCCATAGATTTCTGGCATGCATCACTTGTCGATGTCTCATTTCTAGTTCGGCGTATTTTAGCCATAGTGTTATATTTCGGTGGTCTGTGTCTAATGCTCTTTCATAGATCGAACGCGCCCTTAAAATAAATATACTCATTATGTTATGTTAATCAAAATTATAAACAACATACATTTAGAATAATGATATGAAAATTAAAAATAATACTGACGTTTGTGTATATTAGTAGGGGGTATAATAGGCTTACTCATAAGTGTATATAAACCAAATTATAGAAAATTCTCAAAATTAAGATTAGGCAAAACTTACATACCCTATAAGCATATATCTTTAATTAAATTCTAATAGGTAAGCTCAATAATAATTGATAAAGATTAGGTTAGGTTAATAGAAAACATTTTTTGGGTTAAACAAAACAAAATGTTAAAATTTAAAAAATAGAAATATTGATATAAAGATGAAGCTTAGCTTTCATGAGTGGTCTTCATATGACACATAGAACAAAGAATTTGAGTTCAGCAGTATCAAATTAGTGATGCTGGCTTTAATATTAGTTTGTAAAACGAAGACAACACATACGGGTTCAGCAATTAGATACAATCAATAAGTACAAAGAAAATATAATTTGAAGTAGGTATTATTACTTAAAATATTTTGATTTGAAATATGTAAACATACAACTGACTTAATTTGATATGATTTACCTTTGAATTTCTTTCTGACTCTCTTCCCAAGCAGCGTATTTTATCCAATTACTTATATTCGTACGATTTCTTCGAATATTATCCTCAAAAGCACGTCGTTTTCTATGTTGATAATCTCTTAGTTCTACTGGATCAGAGATTTTTTGTTTGGGAGGCTAATATTTCAATAATTTGCATATTATTGTCATGGATGATTTAAAATAGACTGAACAATAAAAGTAAACTTCATAAATTACTTACAGGTGGTACAATTTCAAGATCTCGCTCCTTTGCTTCTCTTAATAGCTGTTCAGCAGTGATTTGAATCTCCGCGGGTGCTTTATTCTTTACCTAAAGCACAAATATGAATAGTAAGCTATCACATTAGATACTTCCATTAATTATTTTAAGTGATTTTTCATGAGTATCATGATACTTACCTTGGCAACTTTCGGAATTTTTTGAGGTTTCTCCATTTTTTCTTTGTTATTAAAAAAATTCGGTGGGTAAATTTTACCCGGTAAAACTACAGAACAATATTCAGAAGCGAGACTCTATTCAGTCTATTTCTTAATCTATGGACTCAGCTTGATATCCGAGCACTGGAGATTTGGAATTGATGTTGTAAACGATTAGGTTGGAGGCTTGTGTGTGATGTTAAAAACGATTTTTATTATACAATAAACGATGTCGACATTTAGGAACAACTAGGAAGAACTGTCACCACAGATATAATATCATATTGTTATATGATAATTTAGAAAATGATGTTATCAGAGACTTTTGGCCCCTCCCCCCGACCGGTTTATATTTTTGCTGGCGCCATTGGCACACTATGACGATGTATATAAATGTATGATATAATACAGACAAAGACAATACAGTTTATTATATCATGTACAAATGTGTCTACATCGTGCATGTAGAAGTACATCGTACTCACGCGATAGACTCGTAAGGCGTTTAACATTTTTATTTTTTCTAATTTTTATACTAAAATAAAAACTTTTTTAATGTGATAGCTATTTTGTAAATCTAGTTTCTAGAAAACCTTCAGTTGTAAAAACATTTATCCAAGTCAAGTGTTTATTTCGAGGTTTATTTTTTATGTTTCTTAAAATGTCAAATTTTTTTGAAGTAAGATTCATTCATTTGAAAAGCAATAACTTTTTAAAACAATATTACAGATTTAAAATTTAAAATTTTTTTGGTATTGAAAAATAAAAAATGTTCTAATATTAAGTGTTTAACCCAAGTGTCTATAAATTGTATGATTTTTTTAAATCATTGATTAGAATAATAATTATTTTATTTGTCAGATCTTTCTAGTTTCTGTTACACTCTGTATATAAATGAATATTATATTCTCCATGTGCGCGTCATCATGACGTCAATGTTGAGAATTCTAATGTGATGGAATCTCATGAAAGCACGTCGACTAATCGTGCATGAAAGTCTTATGGAATCTCCGTGGCGATAACTGATAACCACTTGTAACTCGCAAACAACCTCCATACTCTTCGAGCCCTAGTTTCATTATCATTTAGTATTTACTATTAACATTGTGTCATTGCAATTTGCATTTTCAAAAAATCCGAACAGACCGGGACCGAAGGTTGTTTCTCACTCGAAAAGACGATTTGTCAATTCTGTCGTTTAGTATTAATCGTATCGACTATCGGTAGATTGTGCACTTGTTTTTGTTTATATGTATATCAGGTAAATATTCTCGAGTAGGTACATATATTACACAAAAGCGTAATTCAATTTAAAAACTGTCAGGTCATACTACATTTTTTTAGTTATGGCTTAGAATTCTTTATTCTAGTTCCGGTTAAACCTATTCACTAATATTATTCAAATAATAGTTACCTACTTAAGTAGTCTCAAATCAATTAGGTAATTTAATAGTTTTGGTAATAAATGTACACGACCATATATTAGTTTTGTTAAATAACTATTAGACTGAACTTTTATCAAATTAAATACATTGTATGTATTTTAATACCTTATTAGTACCTATAGGTGCTCAAATAATATTGATGCTTGAGGAATTGAATGTAAAATGATCCTATTTGAGGTTTAATGTTATTAACCAGTGATGGTCCCTCAATTGATCTTTAATAATACCTTTTATTAGTTAATTAATATAATATAATGTATATTAATATTAATTCAGCTTAATGATTTAATTTTACCATACTTATCATAATTTCTTAGAATGTTTAATCCATATATATATATATATTCTAGTCTAAGGTTAAATCTAATTACTTATCTATTACAAGTAATTATGTAATTATTTGTAAAATTTTCAACAGGGTTTCATATCCATTTATAATAATAATTATAAAAAGAAAATTGTATGAATGTTACTATTCAAAGTGTGAGAAGTCATGAGATGTATAAATAAAGTTTAAAATGCATAGACTGACTCTGTTCATATTATTAACTTTTCTTCGTAAACCTAGGTACAGACCGCAAATAAGTCACAGAGTGACCGATCTACACAGTTAAAATATACATATAGTTACAGTTATGGCTTACGGCCAACAATGTTCTCTATCACACATCTGATTACAATTTAAAGGGTCAGTCTATGAATATTGTTCTGTACTAAGATCAAAGGTCTCGGTTTAAATGTTAGTGTATAATATGTACAATCATAAGCATGTGATAGTCAGGGTATGCACTTGACTACTCTTCTTACTTCCACCCTCCAATGTTCAAAATTACCATTATAATCGGTAATCTTTTTTAGTTCTTCTGTTCTAAATAAACTAGATAATAAATTTGTTTTTATAACTTAGGGACGAATATGTTATATACGTGTGTGTATGTTAATATGTTATGTATGACTACCCTACCAGCAGTGTCTGCACATGCTCATGTGCACACTGTTACAATGCCAAAATTTAGTAATCGTTAGTTGATTATTATTGATTGCTAAATAAAGTATTGTATAGAATAATATCAGTGTTTTATTTTTAATTTAACATAGTTGATTGGTACCTAATACATTATTATTTATGTCTATGTTAATTTGTTAATATTATAATTAATCTTTTTAGAAAATGACTGAAGCTATGGGATTTGATCTGCAAGATAAGTCAGCACACATAAGTTCATTAAACAAGACTCCAGCCTCCATTGTACAAGAATATGCAGCCAAAAATCGCCTTGTTCCTCAATATGATCTCATACATAATGGTGTTTCACATAGTAAGGTCAGCTTTAAGTATAGTCTGACTCTGGATGATTATGTAGCTGTGGGCGACGGAACTTCCAAAAAAGAAGCCAAGCACGTGGCAGCATTAAATCTTCTTAAAATAATGATTGATGATAAACCTCAGTTATTGCATACTGATTTTAAACAATGGGATTTTGATAATCACGTTGTCTCTCCATTTGATAACAATATTAAAGTAAACGCTGTTGGACAATTGAATGACATTTGTACAAATAATAAATTGGGATTGCCTGAATTTAATTTAGTTAGAGAAGAAGGACAAGCCCATGCTAAACTATTTACTATCAGTTGTCATGTAGCTAAAATGATCGAAACAGCAACTCACAAAACCAAAAAACAGGCCAAGCATTTGGCTGCCGTTCAGATGGTAAACAAATTAATGTCTATTGACAAGTCGCTGGTAATGGAAGCGGATCCACATGTATCGGACTCAATGAAAGTCTTGGAACAAGTTGAAATTATTAAATCAGATCAGATAAAAAAATCTGCGCCCATGGATGTTAATTTTTTTAATTATCATTTGCTTTTTAAAGAAGCATGTGATTGGTCTGAATCAGACACACTAACTAAGGTTGTTAATCAGTTTAAAAAAAATGGTGAATTGGATTTATCTGACCCTTTTAATGTTTTATGCGATGTTGTGACTGAATGTAATATGAGCTTAAGTTCAAACGTTTTAGATCCAGAATCAATTGAAAAAAATTCTATACATTTTTATTTTCTTTCTATAAATAATATATACCCTGCTGTTTATGGTTTCGGTGAAGCTGATAGCATTGGATATGCTCAACAAATTGCTGCAAAAGAGTTACTCATTAGTATCTGTTTATTATTAAAATGAAGTTATTTAGTTAATTTTTATCCTACAATAATTTGGACTGAATACACAATAAAAAATTTTAAAATGTTAATTATCATTACCTTTTTTTTTTCATGAACAATTTTAAATGTATATTGTGTATTATTTGCTCGCCTAGTTCTACATGAATATTGTTAATTATAACTATTATTATAGCTTAAAAACTATGTAATATTTATTTTTTTATTGGTTTTGTATAATTATTATATTTATTAAAAGAATTTCTTACACTAATTTAGTATTTTTTTTTTATAGTAAAAATGTTATGTTATTAGTAATATTCAGTGGTTGGGGCACTACTTTTTTTTAAAATTTTCTTATTGAAAATAGGTAGTTACTAGTTTGTAGCTAGTGATTTGACATTTGATTATCATGGATATAACCCAAACAATTCACTAATACACTTTTCATTATTTTAATATAAATAAATTTAATAGTTAGCATAATATTTTAAATATTAACAAATATGCTATATTTGATGGGTGACGACAAAATAATGATAGTAAGATGACCAGTAGATGATCCAGTTTTTTGTTACTTTAAGAGTACCTATTGACGCTACGTTAATCACCAAAAATAAAGTATTGTCACAACAATTAGTCTGCTACTCCCGACAACATGTATTATTTTTATGACTATTGGTAAGATGTATACACTTTAATTTATGAATAGTACTAAACAATTTTCACCCCAAATTACCAACTATACCATGCTCCAAAAGAGAATGTACTAGTTCTGTGCAATTTTTTATCCTTCCACAGATCGTTACCTATATTATTCTGTGGGAGATTCTGTTTCCGCCAGACGGAAGCCGGTTGATATTGATTAAATGTAATTAACTGTAATCAATATATACACACTGAAATGTTACTATGATCCTTTACTAGTTATGTTTATAGTTAATATAAATGTGGACTAATAAGTCAGTTATTGAAGTCTCTACACCCAATATTCATAGTAATAATAATAATAATCATTAAGTAATAAAGATAAATATTATATATTAAAAAGTGGAAATGCAGGAATCCACTCAAAGATTGATGTAAAAGCCACAACCCGTATAGAATTGTGAATAGAAAAAAAAATTTTCTGAATAGTTAACAGCCTACCCCAATTACCCTGTTTGCATGCTTGTATTTATGACTATTAGGGTCTAGGACTTATTGCACTAAAAAAGTTCTAAATATGCATTAAAAAATGTCAAAATATGCAGCTGAATTTTTATTTTATTTTTGAAAAATACAATAAACATATTACAATTTTATAAGCAAAAAACTCAAAAATAAGTAGGTACCTACATAAATATAATACAAATAATTTATACACAGGTTTACTAGTTCAAAATAAATATTGATTATAATGGATACTAATACACTATTGCATGTCCTGGGCGTTTTTAAACTATTTTGATATATAACAATATATAAAAAAAAATAATTAAAAATACTGTCACATCTACTGGGTTAAGAAATAATATGATACGCAAACAGTGTGATAAACAAACATGTATGTGATTTTCATTTCATCATTCAATCTAGATGTCAATTAGTTTTCACAGTTTTACCACAAGGAGACTCATAAAATCTTAAGTAACTCCACCATTAATTTCAACGGCCGGCCCAAACATTTCGTAATTTTTTTTTAAGCTTATTCAATAATATGACAGCAGGGCTTTAGGCTTCAGTCTCCCCAATTCTTAAGCAATATTTGCGCATATGCTATCTATCCAAACATAATTGGTTTTAAGAAATATTTTGGAATGTTATCCAAGTATGATTTTTGTTGATAATTGTACGTACATAAAAATAAAAAAAATTGTTTAAATATGCTGAATATTGCTCAAATAATATGCACTTATCCAAAAATAAAAATATATTACAAATTCAAACTTTGTATTTTAATTTCACCATTTCATCAAACAATTTTATAACTTACCTAGAATAATTTACGAACACAACAAAAAAACATGCAAATGCAAGAAGTCCCTAATGATTACAGTCAATAAATAATTAATTGACACATTGTGTTTAAGTGTTTTCAGTTCTCAGTTTCTATCAATTACTTAAATATGTAATAACCATAAACAATTTTCTTTAATTGTATTAAAATGGTATCAGCTTCTAAATAAAGATTGTAAAAAAAATAACCTTAATTTGATTAGGCTACACTTCAATCAATTTCTACATTAATTATGAGTCTATTATCTCATATATATTATAATTAAGAGGACGTTATAACCGCATGTATTGTGTCCGTCTTTGAAGTGCATAACATAGCAAATTGTACGCACATCATATCACGTTTAGCTTATTTAGTTTAAAAATTAGAGTAAATTGACCTCTTATAAAAATTAATTTTAAGGGGATCGGTGGCGGTGACGACTGTCTTTGTCTAACACACGCGCAACATAAGAATTCAGAGGTGTTTTTTGGCAAACTTACCGATTGATAAAGTGAAGCGATAAGAATTCTGAAAACAGATTTGAATTTGTCGTCAAGTCTTCTTGAGATCGGTCAGTCTACATTTTTGATTTTAGATTCTGAGTGAAACGATAAAAAAAAATAAAAAATAAAAAATAAAAAAACATTCATCGTTTCACTCAGAATCTAAAATCAAAAATGTAGACTGACCGATCTCAAGTAGACTTGACAACAAATTCAAATCAGTTTTCAGAATTCTTATCGCTTCACTTTATCAATCGGTACGTTTGCCAAAAAACACCTCTGAATTCTTATGTAACGCGTGTGTTAGACAAAGACAGTCGTCACCGCCACCGATCCCCTTAAGATTATTATCTAGGGAATTTTACAGGCTTTTGATTATATTTTAATTTTAAAGCGAGTTATGAGTATTTTAAAATTGAAATTGCTTGTACATTTTAAATCTTAAAATACTCATAATTTGTCTTAAAATTAAAATATAATAAAAAAAACCATGAGATGCCCTAGATAATAATCTTGACTTTAATTTTTATAAAAGGGCAATTCACTCTAATTTTTAAGGTAACGGAGCTAAACAAGATTTGCTGAGCTTAAAATTTGCTATTATCCATAAGCATTTATACTCTTAATATTATATATATTGTGAAACCCCTATTAAACTTATAATCTTATACAATGCTATAAAAGCGTAACGATTTTCAATTTATATTGTTTTAACAGTACATATTTTATTGTATGGTTTATGTTTTTTTTAAATTTATCAATCTTACTTATATATTATTTTTTATCCATTCCATTGTAACAGTTTTATGTTTGATTCTTACACTGTGCCATATAGGCAACCCGGCAGACAGGCAGTTCACTTTAAATAAAATTGCTTCTCTCTCATGTATTTGTAAGATGGAGACAACACATGCAGGTATAATGCCCTTTAAATAATAAATATTACAAGCCTGAATAATACTTTGATTTATTTTCTACAAAACCATTTATATTTATTATAAATCATTGTATTGTTAACTTGGTAATATATATGTTTTTATAAAATATAAAAAAAAATCACACAATATTACAAAAATATACCCATATGAAATAACATTAAGTTAAATGCTATATTTATAAATATTAAAACAAAATGCAATAAAAAAATAGTCGAGAATATAAAAAAAATTGAATTCCATACAAAACGTCCATTTTAAAATAAAAAAAAATTGTTATAAAATAATACTGAATCAAGTAAAACATTCGATGATATTCCATTTGTTTTTACAATAGTAGTTGTGATCAATAAACCAATACACAATGTTAGTTAAATATTACATTTTGATTTTCAATAATCATGTGTAGTGCGCTTATATCACGATTCATGTCTGGTATTGTACCTTTAAAATCAATTAAATCAGGCATTGGCATAAGAGTTGGAGCAAAAACAGTGCTAAGATTTTGAGCAGTCATTTTATTTTCATCTAACCGTAAAGTCACCCTAAAAATTAAAAAAAGGATTAAATGTGTTATCTAATAGTTTTTACTTTTATTTGTTAAATATAGATACATTATATATTAATAAATATTTTCGGAATTTGTGTATTTTTACAACTCTAAAAGAGTACAGAAATAAATTATAAAACCATAAACCTAACACTAAATGTTACAGTTGTTAGGATACAGCTAAGAATATGAAAAAATATTTCATAACTAATTACACCATCGCCACTACACAAAGATAGTATAAACTACTACAAAAACTAAACCAAATTGAAGAGTTACCATACTTGATAAATGTAGGGGGAAACATTATACTTAAAGGAGAAATCATTATATTTATATCAAACATAATTAAATAAAATAATATACTGTATTTAAGTTAAGAAATGTACACGATGACAACAAGTTTTCAGTAGGCAATGGTCTGGAAACACATGGACGTCATCCCCAAAGAGTCTACCATCTGTATGCCTGTTGTATAGTGAAGTTGTACACTTGCACACAAGTTGACTGCTGGGTATATTATTTAACTTGCATAGGATACGGCATAATTTTAGTTTTTGATAAGTCTTTTATTATAAGGGTGAATTACATATACTGACTGATACAAATGATTTGAGTGTTAATATTTACCTGTACAAATGAGCCATTAAATAGCTCAAAGTGTTATAATGTGCTGGAGGTAACTTTTTCAAAGCGGCCCTCACCTCAGCTAATCTTTCCCAGGACATTTGAGTTTCTAAAAATAAGAAAATTTGTTCAATATATTGAAATATTGATGTTAAAATTTAACATATTTAGTGTTCACCTACCTAAAGCTTTTATGACAAGAGGATGAACATCATAAGTGATTAGTGGTATTGGAAGCAATCTGAGATACATTTTTAAAATACTAGCTACTACATGTATATTTTCATAAGCTTGATCGTCCATTATTGTTCCTTTACCATCTGAAAACAATTATTGTTATTGATTGTTTTTAGAAGCTCAATAATACATATAATATTTTTTATTTTAACTATTCTAAATCAAATTTTTTTAGATTAAATTAAAATAACTATATTTTTTTTAAAATGACTTTTGAAAGTATATAAATGAGTAATATTCCACCTTTATCTAAGGCTAATCTCAAACTATCCATTTCTTCCTGAAAACCTGATACTCTGTATATTCCTTCAACAGACATGCCACGCCTTTCAATTTCTTCAACACATTTGTCCACAACAAACGGTCTATTAGTTTTATAGGCCTTGACATGAGTTGTTAAATCAATGCCAAAAACACCTCGAAACAATTTTAAATCTGGATAACAATCTGGAGGCAACTTTTCAGAACACTTGAAATGTGCACTAAAACCACAATCTAAAACAATAATAAAGTTAATTTTTTTTAAATTAAAGAAACAACATCAAAGTAAACATTTTTATGTACCTTCACATTTCACTCCTTGCTGTGTAAAACCCCATAAAAAGTTACTACACAACTCGCACCAATTAAGTCCTTTAAAGTTATGAGTTTTAAAACTGTGAGGTTTGTCGTATTCAACAACTTCTTCGCAATTGAGCTGTCTCGGTTTTAGTTTTTTGATTGTTTTACGCTTGAGTTTATTTAATGTCATATAAGGGCTTTTCTCATAACTTATTAAACTGTGCATTAAGTAGATGTATTTCCCAGCTTTAGATTCCATATACAATGTCACCTGTTGTATACATTTTTTTTATAAATTTAAAAATAATATAATACAAAATGATTTAATTGAATTCAGTACAAACAATAATATTTCTGGAAACATTTTAATGTATAAAATAAAAATATAACTATACATATTTTTAAAACTTTAAATCAGTTTTTCTTAAACTTTTTGAGAATACGTAATACCAAACAATGATATTTTTTCTGTGGAACCCTTATGGTAATAAATATTAATAACTGACCAAAAAAGAAGGGTAGACATTTTGAGCAATAGAACCCCTACGAGTTATCTGCAGATCACAGTTTAAGAAACTCTGCTTTATAGTCAGTACAATAAAATCATAATATTAATGTCACACTTAAAAGTAGATTAACAAATTTTTTTTCTAAACCATTGAACATAAACACACCACACAGTCAAGTAAAACTGGTTAAAATATTTTTGTATTAATTCCATCTCACTAAAAACCATAGCAAAATACTTTTGTTAGTAGCACTCAAATTAAGTATATGAAAAAACTTTCATGGGTCTTAAAATCGAAGAATAAAAAACACCATGAGACAGCATCACAAACAAAAAATTAGTAAACTTTATGTCTGGCACAATAGGTAATTGAATAGGAGAGTAACATATTTTGATAATTGTAAGAAATAAAAAAAATTTGGTAATTATAACATGTTCGCTCTTTAATTTTTAAAAAAAATCAATGTTTTTATATACTTTTACAGTGCTATATGTAATTTTAACTTTATTTTTGTTTAAAATATTACTTGTTATGTATAATTCAACTTACCAAACCATCCGCAACAAGATCATTAATTGTATTAAAACGTTTTTGTGACACATAATGTTGTCCGTCATAAAATAATTTATAATGATGAACTTTTCCAAATATTCTAAAAAAATATCAATGAATCAGTTTGTTTATAATTAACAGCATGTGAAATTAATTATTAAAAGTTTGTTTACTTTAAAGATAGTGTATACATCTTATCGTCTGAACTGGTGCTTAGTCGTATAAGATAGTTACCATCGTCTTTTAATAATGAATTTGCTTCTTTGTGATTCATTGCTCCGTGGTATTCAAGACCATAGAAAAATGGACACCCAGACACAGCACTTGGTGCAAATACTGGTTGAGGCTTAGGGGATTCTTGTTGGAGTTTATAAACTATAATAATGATTGTAAGTACTAAATAAATTGCTTCTAACAGTATTTATTTAAAACAAATACATACGATCAGGTTTCCAAACAATGCTGATAGGAGATCCATTTTCATCGGTCACTGGAGTATCTGCGAATTTAAACATTTAGAAATTGCATTACCTACCTATCAATATATTTTTTGATTTTACACAAACAAAATTATATTAATCAATTAGTTTATAATGTATTGACAACAATAATAATTGATTATGCTTACCATATACTTCTTTTCGTTCCTCCTTCTCCATTGGGTACACCCCAAATAATAGTTACAGTAAATTATTTTACATTATTAAATTTAAAACAAATCTTGAAGAACTTTCAGTACCCGAATTAGTAAAATGATTGTGCATTGTAATTTGTTTTCTTTCTAATTAGGTAATACCAAGTAGAAACTTTTATAGCAAAGGTAAATAATTGATTGTTTTCAAATAGAAAATGAGCTAATTGTAAAAATTCATAAAAAAAAATTTAAATAAATATTAATATAAATTATAAATAAAAAAAATTTGGATACCCAATACCCGAGAGCTACTTTCAAATTTAATGTCGTAGATCATAGTACCACAGATAGTAGTATAGTACCACAGATTACTTAGAACCAGATGGTGTACTTCATTTAATCTATTCTGTGGAATGAGGTCTACGGTGCTATCACTCTAGTAGTTATTTATTATTGTTTTTTAGTTGATAACAATGTTGTTGTCTGCATATTTTTACTTATTCTCGTATCAAAACTCAAAAGTTGATGAGAAAGAGTGCAAAACTGGCAAACAGCAAATGTCGAATTGTGAATTGCAAATTTTGCAGTTACTTGGTGCGTTCGATATAATTACATAGCACAGGTTGTTACAGAGGATTTCAAATATATCGGTCGTTTAGTCTTTAGTTAATGACTATGATTTCTCTGTTGTGACGTGTATGAATGTATGATTATTGCTAACATTATAGCAAATTAAGATTATTGAACATTTTTGTTCAATTGTTATTGTCATTGTAGCGAACATTGATTATGAAAACATTAAAAAGTAAGCAGAGTATGTGCTTCTTAGCAACATTGTTTAATAACGAGGCTTCGTGGGGCAGTAAGGTAGTGTGGCGCGCATGCGTATAAACGTAAAATCGCAAACTCTGCCACTCTGGAAGTCTGGAAGGCTATAACTTCCAAAATAATGGTATCCGCAAAAAGAATTCAAACAGTTTCGAAATAAGCGTAAAAAACACGTTTTTTTTATAAATTCGAAATTCGTGAGGGGCGTAGTAAAGTGCATTTGCTCCAAAGCAGATGACAGAAAATAAAACTTGGGTAGTTAAGTAGATATTGTTTTTATTAATAATTATTGTAAACCGTTCATTTTTTAAATTTTACTGCAAAACACTGAATGTAATCACAATATTTTACTATGTGATAACTTATAATTAATTTTGCAACTACACATAAAGTCTAGTTAAATATAGTTGATCTGTTGAACACAAAATTGAATTAAAGTAATTTGATTCATTAAACATTTTTTTATACACCTAATCTGTAATAGTTTATACTATATAATCTGTGGTGTTATTCTGTATCTAATATCTACATCCGTGCTACCAACTCATAATCATTATTTTTTGAAATTCTAATTTCTCAATATTTATTGTTTTATTTTATGTCGTTCGTGGTAATTATAAATTGTAATCTATTTGGTCACATTGAGGTACAAATTCCACAAAATTCCGAGTTAATGAAGCAGTGCCTTAATAAACCGCTTCCTCTCTGTCGACTGTCATCCCCCTAAATCTTTTACTCCAAACGATATTAAATTTGTCTTACAGAAATATAGCCTTAAAAAGTCCCCCGGTTATGACTTAATCACTGCTGAAGTAGCAAGGTTTCTCTCAAAAGGAGCAATCGTTCTATCAAAAGTTCTGCTTAACGCTGCCCTAAGATTGGCTTATTTCCCACTACTTTGGAAATTTTCAATCATCATCAATCTCGTCTTAAACAGTCGACGAAAAATTAAAATATCCCCCTGGCGATGTGTTCGACGTCGTTTATAACTATAAACTAACCCGTTGTCGTTCTTAAAAGTCGAAGTTTGGATTTTTCCAAACATATAGTTGTTTCTACACATTACACGCTCAAACGCGTAGGTACCTATATACTATATTTCAACGAGGATCGTATTTCGATTTGTATTTGTACTAGTTTTATACGTGTAGGCAAAGTATTTTAGATGCCGCAGGCGGAACAGTATGAATATAATAATTATTTTACATGGACGTGAGTTTTTTTCATGTACCTATGAGTACATGTTTTGCAATAGAAAAAATACTTCGATGTTCAATTTTATTGGTGATTTCGGACTGCATTTTTAGTTATTTGGTACTTTTGAGCGGTGAAAATATTCTCCTGTTATTTCGAACCTATATCGGTTTTCTATTAACTGCAGTCAGAAACCACGATTAAAGATATTATTCATGGTCAGAACTTGGAAAATGTCAATAATTTAGTGTGGTGTTAATATTATTCTGCATATTTAAGTACCATATTTTATAAATCTAAGAAATTTATCCTAGGTTTCCCTATGATTTTTTTTCATATTACATTCCTTTTTTAAGCAACCAACAATATAATATTCAAGATTTTCAAGAAAGAATTTGGAGTGTATCAAGATTTTCAAGAAGAAAAATTTGATACGTATCGATACGTACCACCTCGTATCGAAGTCCGAGTCCGATACGGGTCGGTACGTGTCGCTTGTATACTGCACGTGTAACTTTTTGAACGTTTAAAATTGCCTCGATACGTATCGATACACTCCAAATTCTTCCTTGAAAGTCTTGATTGTTACGAACACCCAAGGGCCAAGGCTGATCAAAACAATACACCAATAATACCATAATAATTATTATTATGCATATTAAAATAAAAATTATAAAAAAATATTTAGCATAACTAAAATAATAAATTAAGTAGGTACAATGATAGTATTATTATTTTATAGGTATATAATAAAATATATTATATAATAATAACATGTTTGCAACTCCACCTTAAGCAATTACCTTGTTATCATTAGCTTGTGTTTGGTGGTAGGTATACATAAGTTTGAATTAAGTGCAATATGAAGTAGGTAGGTAGGTAGCCAGGTAGGTACAATCACAGATTAAATTTAATCTGTGGTACAATTCTAGTTTTATACAAACGATATTTAAAAAAATAAAAATGTTTAGCAAACGAAAATGCCATCAAGACTAATTATGTATAATGAATAAATTCTATTTTTCATGCTTTTATTTTTACATCAGGTAGGTATATTATTAAAAAATCTATTTTTTTTTTTTGAAATTATTATTCAAATAAATATATATTATTGTTAAAATAATTTCAAATATTGATACATTAAGTAGTCCACGCCCACATATTTGGGTAGAAGCCGATATATGCGGAGCTATTAAGTCCAATCTGTCTATATTAAAATAATATTTTGACACACAAATATTGATATTTACTTTATTTCGGGTAGGTACTCCCTATTATGCGAGTTCACATTATAATATTCAACTTGGCTTCAACCATGCTTAAACCAGTATATTAAGCTATGTGGTAAATTAATTACATAGGTAGTTAACTGAATCCGTTTGTGGTTGTTCTCACTGTTGCTTTCTGTAGATAAGCATATTATAATACATGATTTTTTTTCAAATTGCCTTGTAGGTAGCGAGATAGGTAGGTTATGAGTCGTAACTTATGTCACTAAACACAATTTAAATTCACACCCAAACATTGTTTCTTTTTTTACTTATAATACTCAATAATATCGAAATAAGTTTATTTAATTCAATAATATTTCATCGAACATCTGTTCAAACACTTTCAAAGACATGATTACAATGAATTCCTCACAAATTGGTTTTAATTGCAAGATACATTATTATTTATTTACCTCTTATAGGTACTTTATTACCATAATTTTTAATATTTGCTTTCAAGGTCGAATTTAGCGCTAAATAAGCAATGAAGCAACTCTATTAATTCCAAATAATTACCATTGTCTATTTGTTTGGAACTCCAATTATTTCACGATTACCTCGAAAAGTCGAAGTATAAGACCTCACGATAAGAGAAAATGAATTACTCTAACAATGCGTTTAAAATATCAATTTAAACATCTTGGTAATTCTTAAAAGTCAAAACCAACAATCTACATTTTGTAACAACAACAAATAATATGTATTTTTTTAAAATTATATTTTATTATGTATAGTTCGTATTAAATAATTTATAAACAATTATAATTTGTAACAATACCTGTTCAAAAATAATACAACCGAGTAATGAGTATAATATTGTACCATATATAGCTTATAGTGTATTATTTATCTGTTTGAATGCTTGAATCAGATCTGAAAAATATGTTTATAAGAATACTTTTAAAGATAAATATAGGCAATAGAATATTCAGTATTGCAGTTATCGTGTTATTTAGGAAGTGTGACAAATTTACGGGAACGTAGTTCTACTTTCTACGGACATAGATCTTAAATAAAAAACCTGACGTCTATGACCCATGGACCATGGTTAATATGAGATGTAGAATTTATATAATTAAATAAAGAACGGATTTTAAAGATCTTCAACACGGCTTTAGATAATGTAATTTGTGGATATAATATATTATGCATGTCGCATGATAGAAATAACTATTAATAAGTTATTTCTATCATGATATTATGTATCTACAACCGTGATCTTCGAAAGAATTTTTCAGATCCTTGTTCTTATCATTCACTTATCACGATTATAATCATGTTCACTTATCACGGACTATTATAGTCCGTGTCACTTATACATTTTATCACGATCATTCAAGATACCAGCTTTATAATGATAATTGATAACACGCTGGCACTTATTTTTTGAAAATTAATCTTTATATTATATACATTTTATTATTTACCAGTTCACTGTTAGCTGTTATGTATTAAGTGATTCATCTTTGCCTAAATCATTTAAATTGTATAGGTATTTAATGTTGTATTAACTGCAGAGTATTTGATATTTCCCTAAAATGAGTGAAGAAATTTTGTACATTGTATCTGATTATGTTCAATGGCAGGAAACTATAGATTTGGCGAGTACCTGCACACCACATTACAACAAACAATTAAAATATAATAAATATTCTAATTGTTATATTGCCACTTTTTTATTTACAGAAAAAATCCTTGAAGAAAAGCTCTCTAAATGTTATTGATTACATTGGTGCATTCAAATATTTTCCCTATTTTTCTTCAGAAAAATTTATTTTTAATGAACCAACATGGAAGTTCTGTATTGGTGGCAATGGTCAAGTTTTGTCTGTTGTTCAACATACTACACTGGAAATGCGCACAGAAAAACATTATAATAAGACTTTAGCAAAAGCAACCTGTAAGATGTATTAATATTTAATGTAACAATTGTTTTCATTATGCCATACTTAACATAATTTATTATTTGATTAATCTTGGTAGCTAGTTAAATAAAGAGTAGGTACATTCAATTGTATGACATAACAATTTCATAAAAGTTCTTTTAAAATTATTTGTTTAGTACCTGATTTAATATCAAATGATTTATACCCATCAAAAAGAGTTTTGTCATGGAGTCCAGATTGTTCAATTTTTGCAATTGCCACTTCACATGGTCACATTGCTTGCTATGATCTCTTAGCCTCAAATTTATTTGTTATTAAGTCTGTAAGTTAAAAGCTTAGATTTAATATCTTTTTTTTATGAGTATATTGTAACCACGAATATATCTTAAATTTTTAATGTATAAACTGTTTTTGTATGTATTTAAAAGATCCAAAATAGTACTAAACAACCTACAAATAATATATTCGCCAAAGAAATGGTGTTCTTAGATTTGCGAACACGGTCTTCAAAATGGTACGTTTATTATTCATACAATTTTGTTTACATAATCATTGAAAAATGTTGAGATATTTTAAGTTATTTGAATT